CATCCCGACCCCCCCAAACCCCCGTGCCCCCCAGGTCAGCCCTGCTGCACGCGGGGTTCCGCGTCTCGCTGTCCCACGCCTGCCGCAACGCCGTCAAGACGGACGCGCCGCCCTCCGTGCTCTGGGACATCATGCGCTGCTGGGTGAGCGAGGAGGGGGCTCGGGGACCCCTCCCCACGCTCGGGGGGGTGGGGGGGGACTGAACCCCCTTTTCCCACTTTTTCCCCCCCTTTTCCCAGGCCAAGCTCCACCCGGTGAAGCTGGAGCGGCTCCCGGAATCCAGCCCGGCCGCCCGGATCCTCTCGGTGGAGCCCACGTAGGACCCCCAGAATGGGGTGGGGTGGGGGTTTGGGGGGACCCCAGACCCCCCCAAACCCCCTGATCCCCTCCTCTTTACCCCCCTGCCAGGCTCCAGGCTTCCTTTGCCCTCCACGAGGACGCCAACCCCAGCTCGCGGAAGCGCGGCTTGAAGCGATTCCCCGAGAACCCCGAAGCTTTTTGGGGTCCCAAGGCCAGGGCCAAGCCAGGGTGAGGCCTGGGGGGGCCGGTTTGGGGGTTCAGGCGCCCCCCACCCCTCCCAAGGGGGACATCCCCCCTTTTTTCACTCTGGTGGGGCAGAATCCCCCTAAAAAGAGGGAAGAGACGAACCCCGAGCTCTGTTTTTGAGGGGGGTGCCCCTCACCCTCTCCCCTTTTTTGGGGGGGTCCCTCGCCCTCTCCCCTTTTTTGGGGGGGGGTCCTCAGCTCATTCCCGGCCTTTCCAGGGGGGGCATCGCCCCCTCCCTGCAGGAGAAGAGGGAGAGGCTCCAGAACAAGAGGAAGCAGCAGCCGGACGGGGCCGGGCTGAAACAATTCCCTTGCAAACGCTTCAAGGAGGTGGGGAGGGGGCTCCAAAATACGGGGGGAGGGTCCCCAAAATGTCCAGGGGATCCCTAAAATAGGCTGGGGGAGGGTGGGAATAGAGGGAGGGGTCCAGGAATGAAGGGGGGGGGAAGAGTCCAGGAAATAAAGGGAGAAAGGATTTGGGGAAATAAAATGGAAAATAAAAGTGGGGGTGACTGGGAATGTGGGGAGGGG